AATTATAGGTAAATGATCTACACGCATTGGTTTGATTGTAGGTGCAAAACATGAGTTTCGAAAACGAATACCAACATAAACATTATAAACATTTTATTGGATTATTTCCTTAAAAAATACTTGAATTTAAAATATACAAAACCGAGTAATCGATTTGTTTAGCCGTTCAAAGGTCGAATATTTTGTGTTGTCATTATTATTTTTAATGAAATTTAACTAATTTACAAACGTAGTTGGTGATGTACTCGTTGATTACTTTTTTTTTTTACACATTGTATAATTAAAACTAATTAAAAATAAAATTTTAAATAATTACTCAGACAATTACTATATGGACAATTACTGTTGGATCTAATTACTGTATTGCTAGTTTAAAGACATATTATTACCTGATGGGCAACAGTTGTATTGAAAACGTTCATAGAAATGACGATCATGTGTACAAATAGCCACAAACGCACTGGAGCCCACCACCAAAGCGTAGCAATCGTCCTTTAAAATTTTAGCTATTTGCGACCTAGAAGTACTATGATAATTTACAGATAAGTGACAATATTGTTTTATTTATAACACAATCAAATTATGTTACAATGTTCAAAGTAATCATACAATTGTATGCCTTATTTGTACTGTCTAATCGAGCAAAACACCGTATCACTTCTTGTTCGGTCGTTATCTCGACCACCGCAGTGCCCATCACTACCGACTACTACTACTACTGTTGATGCTGCTGCACTTCCGTCCAACGCACCGACTGCTCCGTCGGTATACACTGTGTTATTTTTAGCTTATTTCTGCAATAACGAAGTAGTGTCTAAAGAATAACCTTTGGTCCTATTTTTTTTTATCGAAACACCATTTACCGTTCAAATCCCTAACATTATTTGGTCCTTCAGAACCTAGGATCCTTGTCTTTTAAAGATTCCTATTTTCCGTAAGGTTTTAGGATTAAAATGGGATCCAAAAATTGATGCATTGAGCTATCAATATTTACCTAATTTAATTGAGTGTAGCAAACGAGCTATTCTATCTGAAATTGCACGAATTTATGATCCCCTTGGATTGTTGACACCAGTCACTAACCGATTTAAAACGATTGATGAGACACCTATGGTTATTATGAAGAGGCACAAACCGCGTGGACAAAATAGCATCAAGAGTTACCAACATTGGCGTCGTTGCTAAACCCTCGCCTGGTTAGCGTTAGGTTAAGTCGCACCGCACGTGCGATGAGGTTCGGTGCCATCTGTTAATGGGCAAAGCGAAAGTAGCTCCTACTTCAAGAATGTCAATTCCGCGATTAGAGTTGTGTGGTGCGTGGTTACTGGCACATTTGATGGTCTTCGTTATGAAAAATATCACCACGCTATCAATAGTCAATATGACAAACTGGACAGATTCTACCATCGCACTGGCCTGGATTCAAGCTCCTACTTGCCAGCTAAAAACTTTCGTGGCCAATAGAGTAGCGCAAATTCAGCAGATGATGAAAGTACACGTCTGGCGTCATGTTCCTACTACAGACAATCGTGCGGACTGCGCATCTCGGGGACTAAGCCCAGACGAACTCGCTAAACATGAACTGTGGTGGAATGGTCTCAAGTTTTTATGTCAAACCGAAAATATGTGGCCAATTCAAACTAGAAATAGTTTGGGTCAATATGAAGAAGAAGGAAAACTAGAAAAAAAACTCCTATCACCCTTCTGTCTTAGACTATCGAAGAAGAGAGCCAACTTTTGTTACAGTCAAATAACCTTCCTAAAATATTAAGACTTACAGCCTATTGGTTACGATTAAGATATCACTTTTCAGGGAAGGCTACTATGTCTACTTCACAGCCAACGTTATAAAGGAGCTTTCTGTAGAAAAATCAGCTCCCATACGTGTGCGGAAGTTGTCACCATTTTTAGATGATGAATTGTTACTCAGGGTAGGTCAGGGTCGCTTGGAATATTCACAACTGTCCTACGAAGAGAAACATACAAATTTGTTACCTAAGCGTTCACGTCTTACAGCATTATTGATTGATTTTATGCATCGAGATGAGGGTCATCTTGGAACTCAAGCTATGCAGAGCCTGTTACGCCAAAATTATTGGATTCCATCAGCACGAAGTCTCATCAAAAAACGTATCCATAAATGTATACCATGTTTTCGTGCAAAACCAACGACGAATCAACCGTTAATGGGTAACTTGTGATACGGTAGTAAGGGGGGGGGGGGGTTGAATGAAAATATAAAGACCGAATAGAATAGTTCAGAAAGTTTTTATTAAACTTTGAAACATATGTGACAATTAATGCGCGGATGGCTATCGCGGATCAGTGTTAATTTAATAACTGGTTATCAGATTACCTACAGTGGTCATCGCCACCGTGTTTCACTGTAAATGATACCCCCCCCCGTACCTCTTCATACACCGATGGCTGGCTCGGGCAGATATAGTAGTTTATCGTTCCCACTTCCCACCTGCAGTGAGACGGTAGACAGTTGATAACACGACCGGACGCACATTTCATCGCTAATAACGGAAACATGCACTTGCAAGCCGTGTCACTTTTTAGCCTTCCGCGTCTCCCAAATTAAACCATTCAGTCATGCAGGAGTGGACTTTGATGGTCCTTTTGCAGTGAAAGTCGCCATGTTAAGGAAAATTAAAGTAACCAAGGCGTATCTTTGTATATTCGCGTGTATGGCTACCACGGCAAAACATACTGAACTGGTATCTGATCTCTCTACACCCCTCTTCATTGCCGCTTTGAGTTGTGTGAAGCGGCAGTTAAGTCTGCAAAGACATTGCTTTACAGGGTGATTCAAGACAGGGTTCTTACCTATGAAGAACTAAGTACAGTTCTTCATCAGGTAGAAGGTAATGTATTTTCAAACGAATATTCATACAAGCTCATTCTGTACAAAACTCTAATTAGACCTATGTGGACCATTATGTCGTTCACAGTTAATTTATACTGTAAATTAATTTAACTATTTGACTTGTTAGTTGTTGTACATTTTTATATTTGTAAGATTGTAAAAATATACAAAAAATAAGTAAATATTGGATGCATGGTTTGCCACCGAAAATCCTAAACGGAAGTGCGATGAATTCATATTTTCATTTTACAACGACGGTTATCAAAAGCAAGAGCCATTAAAATTGCATAAGATTTTATTAACAAATAGTGACTATAGTACCTATTATTTTACTAGCGCTTTGCTATATGTATGAGTATTGTGTTTAAATACTTTTATCATAAAGATTATGCTAGTTTTGTATTATTGCCGTATAATATATAAACACGCTAATTCCCAATAAATATTTTTTTTTTGTAGTTTTTGCAGCTTACCAATATTATTGCTACGCAAAAAGTTAAATGAAAGCCCTTGTTTTCAATGCTAAACACAAAAACTACAGTCTCTGGCATTGAATTTTGTGTCGACAAAAGAAACTCTAGACCAAATGAACAAACAATAACGATGTATACTTAAAATAGTAAACACATTTCCAAATGTCAAACACAAACCGTTTAACCTAGAACTTTCTGTTTGAGACCGAATGTACATAATATATATTCTTTGTATTGCGGCGTTAACACAACATATTTTTTTTCCAGTAAAATTTTTCATAACGTGTCCATTATGAATATCTTATTTTTGTTGACCATGACCATTGCACTAGCATCGTACTCCCACCAGTTTTTGCCGGACGAAAAAGATAATCAACAACTCATCGACCAACTAAATGCACTTCTCAAAAATGCCGGATGGGGTCGGCTCAATCACCTGGAAGTCAAATATCACGACGGTACACAAGGTCAGTCTTCTTTTTCAGGAATAGATCTACTTATAGTCCGCGAAGAACCCGACCGATGTAATATCACCGAAGAAAATGTCGAAGAAAAATACTGCATGACCGTTAAGCTGTTGGGATGTGTGTACGCCAATGCTATGCATAAGTTCATACAATTGACAAGATCTATTATAGAGCAATGTGATAACGAGATACGTCGTGCGAGACAAAGAGCAAATGGCCAAAGACGTACCCACAAAAAACCGGGTAATTCGGGTGAGCCTTTTAACGTACGTCGTGGTAACTATAGCAAATCTTGTAAGGTTTTCAGCACACTTTTGGAACAATTTGAAATTGGTAGGCGGATGTTTGATTACATGACGTGTGCATTGATTGATTTGGTAGAACCGTTGAATAAAATTCAAGAACACCATGTAATCCGACATTATATACAATACCTTATAGCCAGCATAATTAAGATTCGAGATATAAATAATACACCTCACAAGTATGTATACCACGAGGGTGCTGATAACAATATCAAAACATTTCATAAAAATCTGAAACAATGTTTAAATAAGCAAGTAAGCGGTGTTTTGTTGCCTTTAATGGAGGAATACTGCATTATACCAAAAGAGTCTTATAACATTGATCTTAATCAAAATCCTTCAATTGATGCTAATACAATAGAAAATGAAAGAACAATACCAGAACAAGTAGAGGCAAGTAGTAGCTATGAAGATGTGGTCAAATTTCAGATAGAAAAACATGTGGAGGAGGTCATAAATAAATACATTTTGGATTTAGGGTTTCACTACGTTGAAATTCCAAATTAATTATTTGTAAATCAAATGTGTTTTTTTTTTTTTTTAAATAAAAGCTGCATATTACATATTATACTTTTTTCCTAACTAGATATGTAGACATTTTTCATTTATAATAAAATGTGGTAATATATCATTTTTTTGTTGCTGATTTATATTCGTATGTATATAGTATAGTTATATAAGTATAGCTATTTTAGTATAGTTGCTGCAAACGACCACGTTGCAATATGCTAGTAGATATACTGGAATAATTATTATGAATATTTTACCTTGATTGCAAAGATTCGGAAAGGTTGGCAAAGCGAGTAATGATTCATAGTATTTTTATAATAGTTTTAACACTTTAGAGCAGACAATTCGTTTTTATAAATAAAGACGCTTAAAATATAATTTAAAAAAGTATGTATTTTATATATGTAATGCAAATTTTTAAAGTTCCAGTCTATATGATTATAAAATAATACTTACAAACAAAAAAATATATTTTTGTTGTTTACAGTATAAAAACCGAAAATGTATGTCTAAATTTGAAATCGACTCAATTTGTTTAAACTTTAAATTGATATATTATTTTGTTGAGTGTATGTGATGTAACCCCGAAGAGCTTTTCAAGCGATTCTCTGCATCGAAGTGCTGCCGTTTTCGTTTGTATTCAATTAAAATGTTTTTATCGTATACAAAATTAATTTTATAAGCCGAATAAAACACTTACAATACAATAGTTCGAATTTCAATGGAAGTTCATAAAAATCAGTTTCATAAAAAAATGAAACTATGATGCCACACAATTCCTGATGGCATTTGTACAGATGGTAATTTTCCCTTGGAAGTACCTAACGTCGATATTGTCTTGCACTAGAGTGCAATTCCAAACCAGTGGAGTCATGTAATGCTATGATCTCACGTTCATAAAAGGACTCTTGAGTTATTGGACTTGACAATACTAGAGCTTATGAATATTATTCCCATAAACAAATAGAGTCCGCCGTAAAACAAAAACTAAAAGGCAAACAAAGTATGTTAGGCGATTAGATGAACGAAACTGTGAAAAAATTATTGAATAATAGCTGTCGAGTGTTACTTGTTGCGGAACGGTAGTATAGAAAACGTTCATTTCGATGACGACCACCGAGAAACATGTGGCCAAAGAGACTGCCACGAAAACGTTGAATCCGATCACTAAGGCATAGAGGTTCTGTTGCAGTCGTTTTGCCGTCTCAGATCTGCGTAAAACAAAAACAAAAAACACAGACGTCACAAAATATAATGCACAGTGTCACCATAAAAAGTATATGGCCGGAATTGTATATCGGTTTTACTCACATGCTGATCACAAACATGGATTGCACTAAGGTCCCATAGCCGATTAACATGACGTACACGAAATAGTCGTTCCTCGTGAAGCAACAAAGGCCCGTCAGCATGCTTAGCACGAGAGAACCGTATCCAAGAAACTTATCGCCACAACGGTCCCAATCGACATCCACTTTGCCAATTCTGTACGTGGACAACGCGCCTAAGCACAGACAAATACAGTCCAATCAACTACATATATGGAAGAGAAGGTAAAGATCAAATTTAAAAATGGGTTGTGTTCGGTTGAGAGAAGAGCAACCTGTTCGCATCGCTATATCCGTGAAATAGGAGAACTATGGGAATGAAATGTGTTATCTAATTAGGAGGTTTGAAGAAGGAGAAAATGAAATTGACAACTGCAAGATCAAAACTCGAACGGATTAATGACTTCTGCTTTGATCCAACTGAAATTCATTATTCATTCATCTGCTTCGTCCTCACGTCGGCCACCGTACTTCCGTCTTCCAAAGACATACTTTGGAATCTTTTCTAACCAAGCCAAAATTACCCAAGTGTCTAGTGCATCCTCATTATTAGATAGGTTCGACATCGATCTTTCTTCTGTATTGGTAATTTTATTGTATCCATTTTAGTCACTACACACAACTGTCTCAACAGTTTCACCGCCAAAATACTTATTTTCTGCCCCAATTTATTATCCAATGTCCATTATTTTGCACCACGCACAATATTCCCTTTGCATCTGTCCACATTAATTATATATACCTACTTACCTCACCTTTTACATCCTTTCTAAGGAATGTCTCTTCACAAACTCTGTTTACACTTCGTGCTTGTTCCTTCACACATATTTTCAGTTATAATAGAGCGAAATGAGGAAAATCTAAATGTTTTATATTTACAGTTATTTCGATGACAAGATGGGAAAGAGGAGCAAGGCAATTATCGACTAACGGAGTGAGTTTGAAGTCTTAACGACAAAACAATATCAATTTACCACACAATGTCATGATGGATACGACCATTCCGTTCAAAAGCATGCTCCGGTCGTTGGTCTCATCTGCGTTGTACGTCAGTAATATGTTGACGTTCAACAACAACTGCAAACAGATAATAAAAATTATACCAATCATGAAGTGGTATGCGTTAACATAAGACAAATCGTTATTAGCCACCCTAATGTAGTGATCGTCGTTGGTGTTCAGTATTTACCTCTATGTATGTGCCCAAACTTAGAATGTACCAAAACGACCATTTCAAGACGACCGGATCCGAGTAAGACAGCTTGAGGCTCTCGTATTTGCACGCCAACGCGCTGGCTAACCGGGACGTTTGCTTTGGTTTCTAAAACAAAACACCTCGTGGTTTTTTTTTTTTTTTTACTGAAACAAGCGACAAGATAATATTGCCGGTGTCGTTGGACCGTCACTCGACTTACCCGCGGCAAACGATCGGTTGTAGCCGAACCCGCGTAGCCGGGTACGGCGCTGTCGTACAACGCTGTTTTCGAGGACACGGGGACTTCCGGGACGGGCACGTGGAAGTAATTGTTGAACTTGACGGGCGGCATGAAGCAAGCCCACGCGAACGCAATCGTTAAGCCTGCGAGCCGAAAAACAACAATACTGTGGTGTAACGTGATAGAATATCGAATTGTGATAACAGTTATCAGGACACGATAGCAGTTCGCCTCGCGAGGGAAAGGTTTTTATGTTTTTTTTTTTTATTAACGTCAATTACCCGCGAGACTTATGTAGGGCAGAGCGGTGTAGCTGCCGTGGCCGAAGTACACGACGAGCTGGCCGAGAAGTCCTGAAACACAAGTGCCGGTCAACATGGCAGCCTTGGCGCAACCGGTGGCCAGCTGATAGTGTGTCTTGTCTTTGATGCTCGCGTAAAGATAACTGTAGTACGTTGTTTCGACGGAAAAGTACAGCGACAAGCAACTCTCGGCGAACTACGGCAACGACGTGACATAACACATTAACTAATTAGTGTGTATCCTATGGCGTGTTGATTTAGAAATAAAAAAAAAAAAACACTCGAGTACTATTAATTGAAGTTTGGAAGGCGAACGGGCGAAATTGACAAACGACAGCATTCCCAGCAGTCCGCTGAAGACCATGACGGGTTTGTACAGGAAGTAGTCGGACAGCAAAAAAGCCAGCGCCGAGCTGACCAACCCCAAGTACACTCTGGTCGGCGTCAGTTCGTTTGTTACCTGCGAAAAAAACACACAAAATATGTACACCGTATTACTGTTGTTAACAGCCAAGGCAGTTGCACCTTGATCGGACCGGGAAAACAATTGAAAAATAATCCCGGCAAATAATTGTGAAATAAAACTTATTTGTGGCAAAATATTTATTTTAAAAAAAACCTTACTTAAAAAAATATGCAATCTGCTAAGAACCGCAGCGCCCAAAACACACTGGCACTTTACCAACCCTAAAAATACTAAACATTTATCATAATTTCTAAAGATATGTAAGAGCATTTTAATGAGGGAATAAAAAATGATCCTCAAAGAAATTGGACGTTTTGTACGATATCTAATGCCAGGTTAATTACACTAAATAGAGAAAAAATGTTTGAATAAACACTAAGTAATATATTATCTATACTATTTCTGTTTACTAAACCTAATAACTAATGTAGTCAGGTGATTCTATCATTAAATAAGTAATTTTGGAATTAAATAACAAATATTCAATCTTGTTCTGTTACTATCAAAAGTCCATTTACGCGCAAAAATGCGTTTTCAGTCTTGCTATAAAAATGATCAAAACTCAATTACATCAACTTCAACAGCACATAGGTATGTAGCACGTGTACATTTTTAGCATATCGTAGAATTCAAATTCTCGGTAAGTCCGTTATGAATTGTATCGAACCGTTGAATTTATCAAATTTTGCGCATCAATATAAAAATGTATACTAGAAAAAAGACTGTTATTGTTTAAACAGTTTTTTTTTTCCTTATTCAATACTCGCATTAAACATTTGATAATTTGATATTTGCAAAAACCCTAAATTTTGTTTTATTAAATATATATATATATTAGTTTCTCTGCCTTTTATAATTAGCCAATATAAATGCCCATAAACGAATGTAACCTTTAGCTTAATTTGAACGTTGAATACATTTTTTTTTTAAATACAATGATTTTATTTTATACAATTTATATAATTCAGGTGTGTAAAATACTGAATGATGAATTCTACATTTTTTGGATTGTCTAGAACGTTGTTTAGAAAGCGACACATTAACACAATACATAATCATTAGTGTATAAAACAACACCATTACTAATAGATAATAAATCGTAAAATGTAAATATTAAAATGTATTATTATTATTATTATTATGATAAACTAATAGTTTATTGTATTTGTTGTTATGTACTTTTCGATACAATATGTTAGTAAACCGTTTATTTTTTTTTTTTTTACAACAACATACTAATAAAGTATAAAATAATTAAAAATAAGACGCATTATTACATTGTATTTTCCACCAGACATTGAAAATTACCATTAACCTTTGTGGAATGTTATTAAAATAACATAACGTGTTTGACTAATTGTATAAAAATTAATTTTGTTATGTAATAACAATACTCATAACCAGCTAATGTATCACGTGTGAGTGTTCCATCGTTGGACGATGCTCGCAAAGGAATTTAATTACTGTCTTGTTTTAATATGAGCACGTCTGACGACGAAAAAAGGAAACGGTTCGGAATGAAAAGGTCTACGCTAATGTTATTGTCGAGAAATGACAAATTGAAAAACATTACATCGAAGTCTTTTGTTGAAGAGGACCGTTAAAATCCGTTCGTCCAATTTTTCACGTCAGACGGGTTTGGAGAAAATACAAAATGAAGACAACAATTATTTAACCGCCAGCAAAATTTTTATCTCACTCCCACAAACAAATCCGTTGATTTTACTGCAGATTTTTGTACACAGCTATATTTTCCACAAGTGAGATATAGTGAGTTATATAATTTTAATCAGCCTTGACAGTATAACATTATGTTAGTGGGTTTGAATTTTTTTTTTTTGTTAAACTGTTGCGCGACAGTGAGCTCAACTATTACAGCATTTGTTACTTACAAACTATACATGTAGAATTATATAAATTATAAACACAACTTAAGTATACACACTACCAAGTTTTGCGCCTGATTTGATATTAGTGTAATTGCCAAAAAATACTTTTCGAAATGGTTGCTGGTTATAGTAATATAGTAAAATCAATATGTCGATAAACTGTGCGTTTTCGCCAATTCTGGTCGTAAGTGGAAAATAGAAAAGATAAAAATGCACAGTTTATACGAGTGCAAAATTGTTACCTAAAGTTGAAGTACAGGTAATTTGTTTTTGAAATAGAAAGGCATGTGATATTCAATTGAAATAGGCAGTGGAAATGTTTTATTTGAAATCAGCGTTCCGGAGTGAACTAAAGCAAACTGATCCGTGGGAGGACTTCGTCCCCCGCACCCCCAACGATAGCTCAATAATGTAAAGTTCAAATAAACGTGTTAAAAAAAAAATGACTTACTTACCTCTGCGAGTGATACGTTGACGTCCGGACCGGTCAAGTATGCGGTCAGAAACTGATCCAGGGGTTTGATTTCTATGAAAAAAGCATAGACTGTGGTCACGACGGTGATCTTTTGCCATTGTTCCATGGTGAACTGGATTGAATGAAAATCCGAAAATCCGAAAATAAAAAATTCTTACAATCGGATACGACTAGACTCGGCTGTACGTTTTTTGCGATTGCCAGTTAAGTCCATTAAGCACCGCCATCAGTCATCGCACTAATCACACTATCGACGAAACCGGACAAGGCCAATATACAAAAAGAGATAATGATTGGTTGCTACAGCGCTTTAGCGTTAAAACACTGCTGTACGCGAGATATTTATGTATACATACAATTTTCGATGTAAATTAACCTTTACTTTTATTGCTTCACATTATAACAACGTAATAATAAAATACCAAAAACAAAAAGTGGTATCAATTGTGAATAAACCTTTTTATATTAAAAAACAATTTAAAAAAAAAAATGTAACGTTAAGTTTTTTTTTATAGTGGTTTTTTAGCAAACTTAAGATAAAAAAAATAATGTAGCATGTACATCTTACGTGATTGGAACTATGGCGGGTAAAAAGTTGAAAAAGTTAAATTCTTCATCCCCAGAACCGTGGGAAAAAATTTGCCAGTTTTTCAACATTGCCAGTTATCACTTCTTTAAAAAAACAATCGGATTGAGTCAAAATTTGTTATAAAATTGCCTCAACCCTACATTTTTACACCCTCTTCCCGGGGGGGTTGGAATTTATTTTTAATTTTTTTCACTCACTATTTTAGGACTTAAGAGCTAACCCTTGTCAATAAAAATAAAAACCAATCTGTCAACAATATTTTTTATGATAAAAAGTGACTTAAAAACTATTGAAATGCCAATTGCTTAACTTGCATAAACTTGCATAAATTTTCAATACCTAACTTACATAAAGGACAAAGGCTAGGTATATGTACAAATTGTATAATTATTTACAATAATTACAGAATATAGATATACCCACGTGCTCAGTTTTCTGTTGACAATTCGGACTAATTGCAGAGTACATTTATAGAGATTACTAATTACTGTTTCTCTGCTGCGGTAAGAATGGACTCTGTATCTAGTCATAGTAATCAATGAAAAACTAAGCACTAGTGTGTGTATGTATATTTATTATTTAAAAACTGTAAATGAAATTGCTGACTTTAGTAGTTTATAATAATTTTGATCGTTTTTCCCTGCCACTACGAAACAGACAAACTTTCACCACTTTAGGAGAAAAATCTGGAACGCAACTAAAACGTGGTAAAACGCTAAAAATTGCCTACAAGCAGTTTGAATAATTTTCAGTCAATAAAAACGAACTTTGATGGGAGCATTCGGAAATGAAATGGACAAATAGACTGTCGCTGTCATTTCCTGATTTGTTGCGACACAGTAATTGTACACAATGGTTATCGTCGTTTAGCAGATAAAGCACGAGCCCACGAATCCACTGTGTCCATTGCTCGTTTGCGGATCGCAGACTGGCAGTGATAAAGACGATTCTCCACGATGGTAATGTGTGGAATGCATGCATGCCACATTAACTGTCTTGTACCTTTCGTGAAATGCTTTTTTACACTGTTGCGATATCGTGTGTGCTAGTGTTATGTGGTGCCATCAGTTTGCCAGCAGAAATGATAAGAAACCCGGCAGGCCCGAGAAAGCAGTTTCAAAGAAAGCCGGCAAAAAACCAAGAAAGTAGTATCAGAAGAAGCTGCCGAGAAGTCCAAGGAGCGAGTTTCGAAGGAAGATATTGCAAAATCTCGACCGCTAAGGAAACAGATAAAGATACAGAAGAAATCTTTAAGGAAGAGCCGGATGATTTGGCTCGCGATGAAACTCATACTGAAAGAAAGGAAACGGAAAACAAAGAAATGTTTTTTAAAAAGAGCTACAGGTGAAATAGAAGACGTTAAAAATAAACAAAAAGTTGCTGCGTTCGACGATATCTTACTAGTAGATAAGACTTCTAAAAGATTCCTTATGAAAACAACAAAAATGCACTTGGCCTAATTATTGTGCATCATCGATTGACACACTGCCAGGTTTGGACTCGTCAATTGTGTCAATCCTGTGCTTTAACTTTGTCTAGAAAAACGTTAATGATATTTTTTTTTCTTCTAGATTTTTGCGGACAAAACAAATTATCTTTACTACATATAGACCGAGGCTACAAAAAAAAGTCCACCGCAAGTTATTTATTTTAAAAATTCTTGTCCAACTAATACGTGCAACAGCTATCGTTTTATGCTCTGCGATTGATCGTAAACGATAAGGTTTGACAATACCTTTGTAAAATATACAAAATAATTGTGTTGATCACGTTCCAAACAGTAACAACTTTGTAACCCTTATCGTTTACACGCGACTTGCATCGTGTTCACTTGTGCTATTCTGCGTAGGTAGGAAGTTTAAACATGTTAGTAATTTCAGTGAATCTAATTTTTTTTCCTCTTCGGATTGGTCAATAAATTATAACCCATGTACATTGTACACGCGGGATAATCATTACACGCACGTGATAGTCACATTCGAACGATATTTTGTTGTATAATATGTTAGTTCATTAGTTTTAGTTGGGATTTTTTTAAAACAATTTTTTTTTTATGAAATATCAACAAAAAAATTATAAACATTCAGTGTAGTTTGCATACAACAAAGGGCAACACTAATAATAATGTAATCAATCAAAAACGGTTTAACGAGTGCGCGTTGGAACAAAATAGGTCGGTCGAGGGTCAACCGAATGTGTGCTTAACGTACAGTATACCAGATAACTATTTTAATTGCACCGTTTTAAATGGATAACAGTAATTACTGAGAATCATTATTATTATTACAACGTACACGGTATATGGCACAAGACGCATTCTCAATCGCTTGGCAATAATTGCCATCTGATAAACATTTAATTACCAAAAAGGTATTGGGTCAAAAGTAATATTTTACTGATGTTTCTACGACGAATAACGACAAGACAAAGTATACTCAGGCAGGCTTTCCTATCCTCTTATGGGTTCCAGATCAAACGCCAGAACTTTGTCCACGTATAAATCAAACAAGCCAAATAGTTATGTCTCCAACAACTAGATAATGACATTATGCACTGTTTTAAGAAGCACAGCTATTGGCAGTTTTGCATTGAATAAGAGTTTGAGGTCATCGTTTAAAAATCAGTGGCTAATTTTATACTAACTGGTTTGTCTTTTGTCCAATTTTTTCACACCTACCATAAAAAAATTGCGCTAAAAAAATAAAAACCGAACCTCTTCAAAATAGAATGTTGGCTGAAAAACTATATTGTAAGTTAGTCATATCGAATCGCGGTATTCCACGAATAACCTTTCTTTTAATCTGACAACTTTTTTTTTATCAAGTTACTCGTTGAAAACCAAACAATTTCTGAAAATATTTTTATTGGTTTTAAAGAGAAAGAACACCGTTTCACTTTCGTCAAGTAGTGCACTGCCTAATAATACATTAAAATTAAAGTATACGTTTTTTTAATATATTCTTTAAACAAAATTATATAGATTTAGCCGTGTTATCGTTGTAAACGAAAATTGCTGCACCCAAGTATGTTTTGAACACTTACAAAAATACCCTACAGGTGATCTCATTGCTTTTAGTTTATATTAAAAATAGTTTAGAAAGATCTTTGACGACCATAGTTAGGCATTTATTGTACCAATATTTTTTTTTAATTTTCATAACAATAGTTTTAAAAAATAGTTTACTATTTGAATAATTTCAATTTTTTGTTTTAGATTTAATTCGTTATATTTTTATTATTTTAAGTTCTGCGTGTGACCTCCACGACTCCGTTATAAGGGTTCGTTGAAATGTATTGTGCTTCTCCTATAGCTCTTCAATGTTGTCTTGAAGGCAACGAGAGAAGCAACAAGTACACGCCAATGTCCTATTGTTTGCCACATTGCACATATTCTATGCATTTGCCATAATTATTGGTTTTGGAAAACTAAGAAAATCACAAGTTGTTTTTCTATTTATTTTCAGTGTCACGACATCTCATTGAGTTTGGTCAGCAATATGTGTTATTATTGTAATTATGCTTATTATATATTTATATATATGTGTGGTTAAATAATGATTTCATATATATGTTCTAATATAATAAACGTTTATACTAAAAGCCCCTAAGGAATGCGAATACTAGAATCATTATTATAGCTTAACGATTAAGATGTGCGAAAGCTATGTTTGGTCTTCAATTTGAATATTTATCGAAAATAAAGTTAAAACGCCGGTCTTAACAAAATCAAAAGCTTAGAAATATCATCTTCGATTTATGATCAATTAGATTGTTTTAGGTTTTGTCTATATATCGGGAATATTTTGTCTTTCATATTTTTAAAAATAAAAGTCCCATTCATAAGAGTTATAACAGGAACGTTTTTAATATAAAAGTTCTATTGGAAATTAGAAAAGTAATTGGAAATAAACGTTTTGAGACAACGAAATTTGAAAACATATACTTATGACAAATTTTTACTTCATACTTGTTATGAACTTATTTAATTCATTTTTTTTTTATAATTAATATGTATATTGTAGTTAAAATACTATACACATTTGTTTTATTCTATGTGTTTTCTAACAACTAAGTGGAAACTCGTTTTATTTTCATACTTCTTCTTTAACACTTCTATTGTTTGTACTCATTACAAATTGTCACTATTTAACAGTTTTGTGTTTTGTAATGTCCAAGACCGACAAAATTAGTTAACGAATCTGTAAAGTTGACTTTTGAGTTGAGAAATATCTACTGAACATTTTTACTGGTCGATTGAGAAATTTGAAATAGTGTACAAAACACTAACAAAAGTATTTACAAAAAAAAAAAAAGAATTGTAAATTACAAAGTCGAGTGCTATTAAATTCGACAAAAAAAAAACGCATCTTGCGTACCCAATGAACAATAATTAAATACCATCGCCTTCGTCCAAATATTTGGGGGTCGGCCACTGTAACAGTATTGAATATTTTATAAATATTGCAATTGTACTTTTAGTTTTTCCGAGAGTTTCCTTGGGGAAACCCAAGGTTTGTATTGCAGATTTTCGAGAAAAATGTTTACATTGAGATGATGGTATAGTAGCGGCGCCCACTCTGGATCAAGACATCCACCCTCCTTCCCGGTAGGGTCAAGTGTCAGTTTCTTTTGAAGGGGTTTTCAAAACGACCCTTCTGGGGCTACTGGATAATACCATCTGGTCGTATACTTACAGTGTAATTATGATCAGGTCGACACCGTTGTGGATTCAGTCGGTTATAATATTATTCTCATAACTCGTAACTCACAACTCGTATTGCGCAACGTTAGTTCGCCGGCAAGCCGTTGGCGGTGACATGTCGGTTGCGGCGCCGTCGGCCGTCGTCGTGACCGCCGCTGTCGTGGGTCGTGCGATCGCCACCACCACAGGTTGGCCAACCGTCGGCGGCCGCGTCGACCGCACAAAAAATCGGTCGCCGACCGTCGGCCAGTACCGACTGTCGTATCGTTCTTCGTGCACGTCCGACCCGTCCGACTAAAACGAGTACACACACACACCACACACATTGTTTTACAGTATTTTTATACGTGTTATTGTAGTATGGACGCATACGATAATACACCGTGCCGGTTTTTGGATTACCTATGCTAATCGTTTTCGGTCGGTCCGCGGTTTCGCTTGTCGCGGTTGTCGTGTAGCATGGTCGTGGCCATGGAGAGGAAACTCATATTGGAACTTATCGAAGAGTACAAGTCGTACACTTGCCTGTGGCGGATCAAGGACCCGGAGTACAAGAACAAAGAACTCAAGAACGAGGCGTACGAGTCGCTGTTGGTGTTGATCCGGAAGTGAGTGTTCCGACTTTTACACACCGGACAATATTGTGTATGTATGTATGTTTGTATGTTTGTGTCCGTCCAACGTTCGGCCACCGATGCCCGCCGCGCAGTAATAATTCTTTTGTCCTCCGTCGACCGCATACCCGGTAACCGCGGTAAACCGCGCGCTTACCGAATAATTGTCGGGGGGGGGGGTCCATCTCTACGCGACGTTGCAGATAACGCGGGAGGGGGGGGAGGGGAAATTTATTGCGTTCGGTTTTTTTTTTTTTGTTTTTCATTTATATACCATAATAATTATTAGGTACTACCGTCGTCAGAAATACCAACACAATTGTTAATCGTGTCCGGTGTCCGTCCACCGATGTGCGGCGGACCGGTCCCGGCGCGTCGTCGTTCCGCTTCACCCTCCACCGCTCCCTCCCGCGTTTACCGACAACGGGGCTAACGATTTTCCCGCGCACACTCCGCCGGACCAACGCACCGCGTTGCCGCGCCCGTCGAGCGCTGCCGCATCGCTGCGGTCCGACACCGTCGTCGTTGTTGTTGTTGTTGTTGTTGTTGTTGTTTTCACTGTCGTTATGCGGTGGTCATGTGCGTCGCGGCTCACGCGACGGGTCCGATTAAATAGCCACTTACGACAATGGTCGTGACGTTGAATAATAATTAATCGTGTGACGTTTGTTTTTAATCAAAATATTATGGCACAACGGCTTATGGTGTTTACACATTAGATTTCGGCGTGGACAATTTACACGTTTAAATTTACAACAAATAATACTTTGCAAACAATTATTTACATATACTTTTTTTTTTACTGTGTACAATTATTGATAAATTAAAATAATACATTTCTCAAAAAAATTAATTTTTTTAGAATTTCAATTAATTTAGTTTTGTCTGAATCGATATTCATTTGATAAGTAATTAATATTAGTTGAACGATTCAAGTATATATATATATATATATAGGTGTAATATAAAATACACATTTTTAGAGTATCGAAATAAAAATTGTTTGTTTTAAATACAAATTTGAATAATAAATTAGTGTGAAACAATTGGTTAAATAAATATTAATTTATTAAAGTACTTTAAAAAATTGTATTTTGTATCATGCCTATGTATGACTTGAATCGTTCAACTAATATAGGTAAATAACCTATCAAATAAATATCGATTTAGATAAAACTATGTTCTTTGAAATTCTAAACAATAAATTGCTTTGAGAAATGCATTCTAATTAATTGATCAATTATCGTACTCGGTGAAAATAAGTATTTCTAAAAAGAATAAATCGTTATTTGCAAAGTGGTTCTACTTCGACGTAAAGACCAAAGGTGATATCATTAATACATTGCTGCCTAGTTGTCAACTAATCTAGCTTAGACTAAAACCGCGAGGGTCAAACAATGTAAATCAATAGAGAGACAACACTTCCTTTAAAGGATAACAGTTTAAGAATTATGGCTTCCCGTGTAGTTAATAACAATGATCTTAATGACATTATAAGCTGACCCCCAGTGACAGCTTGAAATCTCATTGGTTTGATAGAAACAAATTACTTCTTCAGGAATTAGGACAAATATAAAAAGAAATGTATGAAAGAATGATTAAAAACATTTCATTAAAAACCTACAGAGTACCAGGAACAATCTACTACATGCAATTGGGGCAAAACCAAGCCATTGCATATAGTAACAACAAAGGTAATACTTTGTTACTCGACAGAGCCATACCAGGGTTATTACATTTTTTGCCCAATGTACAGCTAAAAAAACAGTATCTAAACAGAGAGAACTCGCGAAGGGGAAGTTTGGTCACGATTATCATTGTGCAATAAAAGTATTAAGAATGACGTTGGAATGTTTATACTACACCGTAAGGGATGATACCCTATTCCCAGCTTTGCCATAACAATTTATGAACGGTGCAAAACATTTTCAGCCATCATGCGGCACGTGCCCGAACGGTTGACATGAAGGTGCAAAAATATATTGACAACCATAAATTGTGGTATATTTACAACACTAATGTAGTCCAAAAAGTCTTATTCATCATTTTTATAGTGGTTTTTTAACTTAATGTCACTTAACCAACCGCAATTTGTCTATTCAACGTTAGGTTAAACCAATTGAGTTGGCGCGGCAACTTAAAGGCGTTTAAAGTCTTTTTGAAATGAAGTAAAGCGCCACCAATTTAGAAGTCAATGATTAGAAATAATGATGTAAAATCTTTTTGCTACATTAGTCAAAGCGAAAGTTACTAGGTTTTTTTAGTTTGTCCAAAATATATCCGGCCCTTGAGATACCAGTTACTTGACTTTACTGACTTTGAATCTATGCCAGTAAATCTTGCGTACATTTGACTAAGTCCTCATAATGTATCTCTAGTTCACAAATTAGTTTTCTAACTTTTGACTTACCAATTTCGTCAAAAAAAAGAGGCCAAACACAGTCACGTTGACATTTCACATTGACATTAAAGGAAATAAAATGGCTGTAAGAGTGACACGAAGTTCATTTCAAAAGCTCATCTTCATTATTTGAAGGTGCCTTTTTTCTGATATTTCACTGACTTGACAGCTGTCTTATTTCCTTTTCAAGAAATCTACTAACGGCTATTGGGCGGTATTGATTGGAATTTGTGAGAAAATGAACCGCGTGGCACGATTCGAGTATTTTGTATTTAATCTTCGAATCCAAAAGCTCTTGTTGGTAGCGTGTCTTCTGGATTCATTTATAATCTCGTCTCTGAGAAAGTGTCAACTGTTTAATAACTGCATTTTTCTTGCTCAGGTACAACGAACAATGCACTATGGACGACCTGAAAAGAAAGATAGCCAATCTGAGGACTTGCTATCTGAGAGAGTTCAAGAAGGTGATCGACGCCAAGAGATACGGCGAAACGTACGAGCCCACCCTATGGTATTATAAGTGAGAACTTTTGAAATATTTTACAGTTAAGTCACTCCGTCTGCGTGTGTGTTGGGCTAATGGCGTGATTAAAATGTTTTTAGGTCTTTGGAGTTCCTCAACGACCAATACGTGGGCGAAGACAGGGTGAGGTTGGGCCGAAGCTATCTCGAAACCAGTGACGACGATAACGAATCCAATAACGAGGTAAGTTTATATTTGTGTAATTGTATATTCACTTGCAAGTTTCGGTTATTTTTAGTTAATAGCAGCTGTGATTTAACATAGCAGGCGACTCGTCGGCTGTGTTTATTGAAAACGCAATTATTATCGTTAAGTATGTTATAGGCAAAGAGAGCGCGGATAAAAAACCTTTGATTTTAAATAAACAAACGGATAATTCGAATAGGGTTTATAGGATATATTGACAGAAAAAAAAAACTCTAAATTCCTTGTTCGGTAGGGACAAACCACATGTTTCGCATATGGTTTGTGAATAACGTTTAAATGAAATCAACGTTTCTTTATCGTTTGTAATTGTAAGTGAATCACTCTAGTACAAATGACCTAGTAGAAAGTTTGATTGAGTTTATGTTTACCCAAAAATCGCATACCCATAATTAACTGGGTAAATAGCTGAGTTTTACCAACTTTGTTAAGATGACGTGAAACTCCTGAGGAGTTAAGTGTTGGCAATTTTTTTTGCACTATCTTAATATAGAGCTGGAACTAAAGTTTATAACCATGGCATAAAATAAAGAAAATTACTCTAATATTTATCATTTAAAGCATTGTTATAATGATACAAATTTAATCAAGTTAAAAGCTCTAAGATTTTACAAACTTCCAGGTATGATTTAACAATAAAATTTTACTTTTTTGATAGAATAGAACTCTACCCCAGTATTGGGCAAATTGTAATCTGATTAATAATTTCGGTTAATAATTGTAATCTGTAATCATAGTGTTAGATTAATGTAATCGTATAAATTTAATCATGATTATATTAATGATTACATTAATCTTTCAACTGTAATCATGAAATGATTAATGATTACATTGTTTAACTGCCCTAGGTTTTCTTTATTACATATATTATAAATAAATATATGGGATGTCTACGACGATTTGACCTTTGCAATATCATCTAAACAATTTTATTTTTTAATCAGCATTTTGTCTACATTTTTCGTTTGCCAACAAGTAGTTTATATTTTTGAATATTTTTATATTCCAATAAAATATAAATAAACTACTTACTAAATAAAAATGATTGAAATATAAATAAACTACTTGTTGGCCAACGAAATATTTAGAAAAATCAGAATTGAAAAAAATGAATTTTTCCAAGTGATTATACAAAAGTCAAATCATCGTGGAACACTGTATATATATATATTTTAGTGAATGCCTGGGGCGGTTTATCAATTTTATTTTTAATCATTTCACGGTTACAATTCGATGATTAATGTAATCATGATTACTGATTACTTAATTTAATCACGAATACATTGTTGTAATCGATTACGTGATTTGATCATAAAGTTCCACACTGCTACACAGCTCGTGTCATATTTTGTCAAATTTATTAACATTTAATCGTACCAGGGTACTATGCGTTAAGTATATACTATGGATGGGGGAGAACCGCGGATGACCAGGAATCAGCCGTATTAGGATATAGCTGATGTCAACAGTAGAACCGTTATGAGTGTGCGACCTCGACCGCGCGTCCTGTGATTCGTTCCAAAGTAAACCGACTGGTGGCTCTAATCGTTGACGGGGTTCGGCCCCTTTGTTCGCAGGCGCTGATCACCGCGTACGACAACGGCGGGCACGGGTCGGCTGCCGAAGACAAGGACTCCTCGTACTCGGCCGAGGCGACGTCGAACTTGACCGCGGCCGCGCCGAGGCGGCCCAAGAGGCAGCGGGTGGCGCTGGAAGGATATCCGGAGAGGTTCTACGAGAGCTTCGAACCGCACGTCGTCAGCGGGGCGGGAGGACCCGGCGAACCGCCCGGCGACTACTACAACGGTTTCGGCCGGTACGCCGCCAACGAGCTGCGGCAGATGGACCGCCAGTCGGTGATCATTGCCAAGCGTCTGATCAACGAGGTCATGTTCCTGGGGCAGATGGGCATGTTGGACGTCAACACCAGAATCGCCGGCGCCAACCAGCCCAATAAAAACAGCCAAAAGAACGCGGCCGCGAAAGTGGAATACGCCGCGCCGCAGTCCGAAGAACTCCCCATGGAGTTCATGGACACCCCATAATTACTACCCTATTGAGGACCTTCCAACGTCTTGTGACGTTCAAGTGTCTAATAGTCGTTAGATTGTTTGTAAAATGTTTTACTGCACTTCTGTGTTTAGTGTTGAGTGTTCACGACTTATTATTATCTTATTTATTTATTTATTTTTGTTTTATCTAATAAAAAGCTTCGGCGACATTCAAGACATTGGCAAACGATTTTAAGTTTACACAGTTATGCATTTGATGGTATTCAATTTTAGCTTCGACGCGACAGCTGAGAAGGTATTGTATTTACAATGATGTGTTTTTTTTAAATATTTATTTTTGTGTCTGTACCCACGATATCTTTTAAGCCACTGAACCGTCTTCTTCGTGTAGCAGCTGTTAAGATCAGAAATCGTACATGTATGGTACTGAGTTCATGGGAAAGGCTTGTGAGAAAGTTAAAAAAAAATCAACTAATTAAGAACACTTATAAATTGTGTAACGTAGTGTGTCATTAACAAAATTAAATACTTATAATTATAGTTAAACACGGACTTAACCTGATCCAACGGTGATTACGTTAACTTGTGTTAAATAGTATTATTTATTATTATAACCATAAGTTGTCAAGTTTTTTCTAGTATTATCACTGTAGTAGTATTATAACAACGACAAAGATTTTAGTCACGATAATGTTTCGCACAGTGTCGTTGTTATTCGTTATCATTATTTGTTTAAAAGATCAACGGTTTGCATAAAAAAAGGCAGCAACATTAACCTAACACTACTCTTTACAACGTTTTGGGGTAGCACTGTTGATCCTCCTGGATTTTTTTTTTCATCAGATTTGCAGCGCTGTTTGTCTTGTTTAGCCGACACTAATTGAACAAGTACTTTCTACCCGAAACGTAATCCAAAATGATTAAAGCCGGCCGGCATATTTTATAATCCGATCAAAATATAATCCCTCGGCCATAAAAAGTACAGGTGGACTTTCACGGCCCTAAACTTGCATTATTTAGCAACACGGAATCGCCTGTTATAAATGTGTTCGGGATGGGCGGCTAAAAAGATTTGTGATAACATTAAACTACAACAGGCCAGACGAACATCTAGTGTCCACCGAAATTATACCCAGTCGCTTTCAAACGATTGCCAAGAGACTGACGCATGGTGAAATGAGGAAGATCACATATTATGTATGTCTCGCTTCCTAGATATATTTTGTATTTATTCACTTGCTCTAGTGGGTGGCCATCCAGTATTATTTGCTTTTGGGTTCCTCCGTTACGGCTACAAACAAGGACATTCGTTTTTGCTTTGTATTATATATTTAAGTTAAGTACGTTATTCCCAAGATATTCTGCGGGTCCTCTTCTTTATCCGTTTGTTACCCGCCATGTCAACCTGCAAATCTTAGCATGTCTATTCTTTTATCCCTACTTCAACGTGTTCTCTTACTTCATTTATCGCTTCTCGCGATGTGATCTTCTTTTGTGATTCATTCGAATACATATATTTTAAATCGTGCACAACTGTGTCACCGGCAGTTTCTGTACATTTTTAACCTTCCCGAATTCCCTCGGTCTTACTTTTGTTTGAAAGATTATCGGGTTGTCAGCCAGGAGTAATAAAACTGCAACTCTCCGAAAGCCATACATTTGTCTACCGGCTCTCTGGAGAGACACGAGGGATTCAGAAAGTGCTGTAACAGAAGGGGATGTGGGTGAATAGATGGGTATTGGTTTTTTAAACTGTTCAATAGTTGTCGAAGGTTCCTCGTACCATCGCAGATGTGTTTAAAACTAGGTTCGAGTTCGGTGGAAGGCAACAGGTGATTTATAGCCGCAGTCTTCAAACTATTATATTAAGCACACGGCGTTAGAGCGGCCGGACCGCGGTTCGGGATTAGGCTGGGTTGGTCCCGTCTGCCGGAAATATCCGCTGGCAAACGACCGGGAAGTATTGAAAAATCCAAAAAATACCCTCAGCTTGTATTATATATTATGTAGGTCGTTGTGCCGCCGTTCGGTTGCCAAAATTTAAAACAACATGTTCTACCATAACCGTTTCGCGGTCCAAAGAAGTTTCGGTGCCAGTTTGGCCGTGTAAAATAAAAAGGGTTAACGTTATTTGCAAAACACAACATAATTAATTATATCGGACCGTGTTTTGGACGTTTATGGAATAACGTCCTAGTATACACAGCACAGTAAAACTTTTATACTATGATCCCCTCGAAGACTTTTTTATTTTTTATTTGTACGTTTGTTTTGGTCCAGAGCGGCCCAACACCAATTACAAATATCTGTCTGTAAAAAAAAAAAAAAACCCTAATTTTTATTCGCATTTAGTTGGTTTTCCAGAAAGTCGCTTACTTAGTTGATCAAAATTTAATTAAACGGCGAACGTAGATTAAAATAACAAACAGAATAACAATTACTTTTTTTCAAATAACTTTAAGTACGGTAGGGACGGGGAGGTCACAGGAATTATTATAACTGAAAGTGAAAATTAATTTTTAGCATTAGGATGGATTAGGGTCGATCGTCTGTCCATAAAAATGTGTATTGCCATAGTATTACCTGGTATTTATAGTAATTAACGGTATAATGAGAAAATGGTGTCAGACCTAAATCCCTAAAATGGCGATTCGACAAATAACAAAAAATATTTTTTCGGCAAATAATAATAATAATAATAGTGTGATCTTATTCCCGGGTTTGTCCACACAGCGTCATGTTTATTTTTTCAATTCCAATGGAACACCATGTTCATAATTCACTGAAAAATAGCTGTTCCCGGAAAATATAATACATGTGATCGTAAGTAATTTCCAAGAATATAATATTATACTATTATGCAATAAAAGTTTTGAGAATATTTGTGTTATTAAGAAGCCGACCTAAGAGTATAAATATATATTTATACCCCGTGGGTTGGGTTCGAAATAACACAAATATTCTCAAATAATATATATATATATATATATTGGGAAGCTATATCAATGTACATAAAGGTACACACACGCAGAATATGACATAACTAAAATACCCCGGTTATTAATATACAATATTCACTAGAAACTATATATATATATTATATATTAATAACTGGGGTATTTTAGTTATGTCATATTCTGTGTATATATAGGTACATTAATAATAAAGTTTCCCATAGGATATAACAACTATGCAAAGTGTAAATTCAATAATATCATCGACCAATCGGAATTCGATATTGTCTTGGCTGAACTTGACCAAAAATCATGCTGTAGATAGATATTTTATTAGGTTCCCAATTGTTCTTTGAAAACAATAGAGGTTTTATTTAGATTTTATTTGTTTTCAATATTAAAAAAAAATATCATAACCAACTAATCCAAATTGTCTATCCAATAAGATATTAGACAGAAAATCCAACATCTGTTACTTAAATATTGTCGATTGTTCAGGTGTGTAGACAAACAAACAAGACGTACTAGGTAAATAACATACCGCTTTAATTACATTATAACTTTGCTCGACGATTATAATCTCATTTAATGGCGTAGTAAATAATACCAATTAACAGTAAACTACCGAACGCAAACAACACAAGTAGTTCAATAAATTTCCGAATTTTCAAATTAGATATATTTTTAAAAAAAAACCATCGTCCGAGTGAAAATATAACTATGTCAAAATTCATATAAAATAATTCAACGCCAGATACATAATTACTTATACCTCATTGTCTCACTATAGATACAGCGAAAACAATTCAAATACTAAATATACAGCCATACTGACTGCCTTAAAATAGTGCAGCGTTATTGTTATAACCAACTTAGTAAAAGTAATGGCATAATCGGTTTTAGAATATCAACAGATAAAATTCAACGTGTACTCGAAACGCAGCTGCATTTAACCATTTTCGAGCTTTACAAGCTATCCGTTTATCCGTTCTTAACCGACAAACTTGGTTTCACTGCTAAGTTCAAAGTAGCCGAGCCGAACAAATACATAATATCTATTAACCTCGTCTCATCCCAATTCGTTTAGACGGTGCAAACGTGTGATCGTTTATCAAGAAGCCACTGGTGCATTCAATATAATAGGCAAATTGCCACACGCTCTGTCTGTGGGTACTGTGTTTACAAACGCGCATTGGTGTGACGCTGTTAACCTGCGACAATATTTTGTGCCAGCAGTGTTTAACACGGTGGTAGTAGTAGCTGGTATTGGCACTGAACGCGCAAAGATGTTTGGCCCAGGATTTGTACAGAACAAAACTATCGTCGCGGTCTGGGCTATTATTAAATCCGGTCCCGGAAGAAAATATCGTTATCATTATGACCGGAACACAAATTTGACTTTGAACAGAGGACAGGGGAAGAAGAGGAGAGAACATTTAGGCAATTTACCAGAGTCGGTAAGAATGGAGAAGGAGAAGAGAGGAGGGAAAGGAAAGGATTAGGTTGGGTTAGGTTTGAAAAATACAAGTTGTGTAACGTTTGTTCCGAAAACGTAGTCCAAGTCAAATGGTCGTAATGTTAAATTTATAATATTTAGAAGAAAAAGAACGATTGAAAGTCTTTAGGCGATTAATTTACTATTAAACTAATAGGCTCTAATAATTTGTTCTAACACATTGACTTACAAGTCTACAATGCGTTTATAAACTGCATTTCGACGATCCAATCACTCTATTCGGTGTTGACTTGGTTAACAGCTCACATTTGGCCAAACTAATTCGGTTGGCTAAAACTGTATGCAACTGTACATACACACGTGTGTATTATTTGTAAGGGTCACTGAAAATCAAGGCGCATGCCGTATGAATTGTTATTATTTGCTTACTAAAATATATTACACCTTGTTTACACGGTTAAATATTGGTCTGAATCGCGGGCAATGCCGTGTACAGAGTTTAGTTTTGTGTGTTGGCCATTTTTTTTTTTTTTTCAATGTTTACTTACAGTATATCGTTCTAGTGTCTGGTGTACATTATTTAAAAATCAAACAACCACATGCAATCACAGCGTTGTTTTGCCGGTGTAAACAATATATTTTATACTTGCCATGAATTACTTACAACCGGATAGCGGTTGAAAACTACTAAGAAATCAATATATATATATATATGTATAAGTAGGTTTTTTTTTTGGAAACCGTCTTGTACTAAATCTCGAGTTGTTGAAAAACGATTGATCATTTGGAAATAGGTTTGATAGTTTATTTTTTTTTTTT